CTGATCTGATGGATTTACTGAAGACTACGTTTTGATATGACATCTGAGCACAAGATGGACATATTTCTCTGTCTTGAAGTCTTAGTTCTGACTGATCTGATGGATTTACTGAAGACTACGTTTTGATATGACATCTGAGCACAAGATGGACATATTTCTCTGTCTTGAAGTCTTAGTTCTGACTGATCTGATGGATTTACTGAAGACTACGTTTTGATATGACATCTGAGCACAAGATGGACATATTTCTCTGTCTTGAAGTCTTAGTTCTGACTGATCTGATGGATTTACTGAAGACTACGTTTGATATGACATCTGAGCACAGGATGGATATATTTCTCTGTCTTGAAGTCTTAGTTCTGACTGATCTGATGGATTTGCTGAAGACTACGTTTTGATATGACATCTGAGCACAAGATAGACATATTTCTCTGTCTTAGTTTTGACTGATCTGATGGATTTACAGAAGATTACCGTAGTGTATGACACTAGGGCATAAGATGAGTATATTTCTCTGGAACTCTTAGTTCTGCAGAGTCATGTTTATCCATTATAAAATAGAACATAGGCGTCATATTGGGGGAGCAAAGCTGGAAGTTAATCAATCTTGTCTGATATGCGCGTGCCTTTGGGAATGCTCTCTGGAATTCTTTAAAATTACGGTGGTATACTTTAGGCCTATTTCGATGCATTAGTGTCAAGTAAGCTGTTAAATGATTATTTACAAGACCTTCTGTTTTTTGTTTCATCTTAATCTCTTTTATTTTGTATTATCAACCGTTTATTTTCATCCATTACGTTCATTTTAAAACTACTGTCCGTTTATCTTCATCCACTACGTTCATTTTAAAACCTCTGTCCGTTTATCTTCATCCACTACCTTCATTTTAAAACCTCTGTCCGTTTATTTTCATCCATTACGTTCATTCTAAAACCTCTGTCTCTTTATCTTCATCCACTACCTTCATTTTAAAACCTCTGTCTCTTTATCTTCATCCACTACCTTCATTCTAAAACCTCTATATCTTTATCTTCATCCACTACCTTCATTTTAAAACTTCTGTCCGTTTATCTTCATCCACTACGTTCATTTTAAAATCTCTATCTCTTTATCTTCATCCACTACGTTCATTTTAAAATCTCTGTCTCTTTATGGCGAGCCATTATTTTGGACCACAAACTCAGTTATAGTTGAGGAAATAGTAAAGTTATCGATTTTTTTGGGAGGGCCGGAATGGGTGCTATTCCTCCTGAATTGGAAATTGAAGGCTCTATTCTCCCTCCATTTCGAGTCCTATATTGGAATGTGCGTTAGCTTGTTAATTTGGAGTAAACTTTCTGTATAACTAATAATAAAAGTACGAGAATAAAACACGTAAAGAATGTGTTAATTTAGTAGAAACTTGTAGCGTGAATAAAGATAATTTCGACCTTAAAAATTAATTATTATCTTTTACAAACATTGATAGACAGATTATCCGTCTTTCATTACTGTTTAGTTATATGAAACGACCAAGAAAATTCTCAGCTTAACAACAACAAAAAGTCTTCCGAGAATTTCGTTTCATTTATTTTTATATTTCTACGGGCGTTAGTGAAAACGTGTGTAAGACAACCTTTGGTGTGAAAACGTGTGTAAGACAACCGTTAGTGTGAAAACGTATGTAAGACAACCTTTGGTGTGAAAAAAAGTGTGTAAGACAACCTTTGGTGTGAAAACGTGTGTAAGACAACCTTTGGTGTGAAAACGTGTGTAAGACAACCTTTGGTGTGAAAACGTGTGTAAGACAACCTTTAGTGTGAAAACGTGTGTAAGACAACCTTTGGTGTGAAAACGTGTGTAAGACAACCTTTGGTGTGAAAACATATGAAACAATATTTGTGTGAAAACGTATGAAACACAATATTTGGTGTGAAAACCTATGGTAATTGTCTAAAAGCTCAATGTTCTTCCCATTAAGCTGTTTTCCTTCTGCTGTCAATGAATTATTGTTAATAATTGTTCCCACATCTATTATTTCAGGATGTGTTCTGGTTTGAGCAGTATTCCTGGGCTTTATTTAAAGCCATGTCTCACATGCTCTGTATTGGCTATGGACGTTTCCCGCCTCAAAACCTAACGGATATGTGGCTAACTTTGCTGAGTATGATTAGTGGCGCCACCTGCTATGCACTGTTCCTTGGCCATACTACAAATTTAATTCAGACTTTAGATTCGTCCAGACGTCAGTACAGAGAAAAGGTAAAGTAAATATTTTAAGATATTTGTCTTAACTTTATTGTGTATTTTTAAAATTTTTAATTCATGAACCAACAAGAAAGTAAACCTGATATCGAAGACGCGGGTATTTTGAAGTTTTTTTATCGGTCCGAAGTTTTGTGGCTAGTAATGAAATAATTAGTATGACTCATTGCCGTTACTTTATAAAACCAGCTGTTTGAAACGATTTTTGATTCTAATATATATATTAAGTTGGGCGTGGCACAGCGGTAGGCATGTCGGGCTGCGGATTAGAGTGTCCGGAGTTCGAGAGTGATTCTACTGAATACGTTTCGCACTTTCAGCTGAGGGCGAGTTATAAAAGCGACAGCTTTTTTTGTTTGTTTGTTTGTTTGTTTGGAATTAACCACAAAGCTACACAATGGGCTATCTATACTCATCTAATCACGGGTATCGAAAAGTGACAGCCAATCATGTTATTCGGTTCAAAGAGCTGCAACAAGCCCTAACGGCACCAGATGCAGCTGGCTGTTGCCTTTCCTCTGTTGAATAACTCAAAATTAGGGCTCACTATATCTGATTTGTTTTTTTTAAAATACGTGTAATGAGAAGAGTCTTATTTAATCACCAAGCACCGAATTCACAAATTATAATAAATTCTAAATCAGTACTTCTGCGATACAAACGTTAACCCTAGCGGTCACGTTTATAAAGTTAATTCTTGTCCATTGTATAGATGTATTGTGTTTATTTGCTGTTAATATTTGTTGTTTCATTCTCTAAAACCTGATTGGCTGGTTTACAGGTGAAACAGGTGGAAGAATACATGGCCTATCGTAAGTTGCCTCGAGACCTACGTCAGCGAATCACAGAATACTTCGAGCATCGCTATCAAGGGAAGTATTATGACGAGGACGCTATTCTTGGAGAATTATCAGAAAGACTACGAGAGGTAGTATTACTTAAAATGCTATTAAAGTATTTTGTATTTGAAAACACTTAATTTTTCACAGTTTTCTTACTCAACTTTCATTGTTCGTCAACTGTCTTCTTGAATCTTTTTATTTGTTAATCACAACTCTATCAGAAACTTGTTCTTTAGTACGTCAGTGATCTTAATGTTTGCAGTTCTTACATATTCCCTCTAGCATTGCTATCGACGATGTTTGTCTTCAACTGTAGAGTCTTTTTTACTCACTTTTCGGGTTTATTTTGACGCGGAAGAATATAAGACGAACCACAAACTAAGTTCAAGCGTTTCAAATTTTAAAATGTTTTTTCTTAAGATCAAACAACACCTGGATGAGTTAAGCCTGAATGAAGCGTTTCACTCGAAATACTAACAAAACGAAAGTTCTTAATGGTTGTTTTGGTTGATGACCTTGGAGTCAAGTACAACGATGACCTCTTCCCCCCCCCTCCTGTACGATAGTTTCAAGTGTATTTCACTTATATTGTTAATTCTTCGGGAAAAGGTTAAATTTATTACTACATGGGGTCAATATTTGTGTTTGAATTTCATCCAAGTTCTGCTTCTGACCTCTTACCTTGGGCCATGTCCATTGATGTAACACTCCCGAAATACTGCTTGCTGTTAA